CAACGTATATTGAAAACGTGATTCCGGCATGTGAAAGTCTACCCGGAGTGTGCTAACCCGTGATAGACTAATCGACCCTCCCATGCCCAGAAAGACCCTTCATTACTCTTGAGCTTGGATGGGTAAAAATTTACCATCACTCGCGCTCGTCACTGATTTCTCAGGCCCTTAGGCGAAGGAAATTATTAGGAATTGGGCAAAACGGGTGTGAAATTACGCCCTAGTTTTACTCAGATCACGAGTGTGATTACACACACTGGCACCCAACTGGAACTGGACCGTGAAGCAGTACATGCAGTGCAGTGCGAAAAGGAACTAGTATTGAGATACAGTGTAAGCAAAACGATTCTGCGAAGGACACGGTAATGACTTAATCGTTGATGATGGATAGTAAAAGTCATTTAGATGTGCTAAAAATCAATGAAATATTAAATCGATCATTAAAAATCAGGCGCGGACCCAGACCGGTTTCCAACGTTTTACGGAAATCGGTCAGATTTTTCATAATAAATATATTTTTAATAAAAAAAGCTTACCAGGTTGAAATCTGGAAAATGGATTGGACAAATGCTTTATCCGAGGAGAATTGAACTGGCCAATATCCCAGCTGAATGACTCAGAAACCCAGGAAAGGGGACTTGAGGGAGTTAAAATCCAAAAAAAAATTTCCTGGGAGAGCATGCCCCCGTACCCTCTAGAAGCTTCGGCGCTTGTTTAGGAAGTCGGTCAGTATTTATCCTAGATCCGCGCCTGAAAATAATCATTAATGTTATGTATAATAACTGGTTCAACGTGACAACTAATTTAAAGCTAATTTTAAAATAATCAAGAGATTTTAAAAAACTGACTTGTTTTCCCTGGTAGTTCCTATTTTAAGTGTAATAAACTAAAGTTAGAATAAGCCCTGTTGATCTAGTATGTCTATAAAGGCTTCCTTTTGGAGGCAGGATTTGAGTTCTCGACACAACTGATATTATAGCCTGCATTATGGTCTTTCAATTACTAGCTAATTACTGATGCAGTGCACGCTTTAATGAATACTGCTACTAATAATAATATTGAAATTATTTTGACCGAATGGGGCTGATCAGGCCCTGTTCATTGATGATTTTCCTGTTAGTCCATGCAGTGGGAATTCGCCAGCAGAAAAACAAGCCTTGCTAACCATGGGGCCCATAACTTTCCCACGCTGGAACTTTGTTGCATTTCTGCCGGGAAGGGTCGCTTGACCCTTTCTGTGCGATATTTGCTCCACAAAGAATGCTTGCGGTTGCTTCTTATTTTACGCGCATTAATTAGTTTTCACTAAAAAGGTCCACTGATTTTTCGCAACTGACTCTTTAGAGCCGTGAAACTAGGAACTTATATAATGGGTTCTTAAACGTTTTTGCTATTCGCGTGCGCTGGAACACATCCCCCTAGTCTAGTTGTTACGATTTTAGGGGCAGTAAGAGAAAGAATTATGTAATCACAGTTGTTCGATGGATCAGTATTTAACACAATAGTTTTGAATGCTTGAGTCTGTAGGTCGCAGTTGTCGCGGCCTGGTGCGTACAGCGCAGTTATTATGGTTTAGGTTCAACACAGTTTTGACAATCGTTAGACGTTCGCCCGAGACCTCGATCAACTGTTTTCCTGCACCTGCCTTGCTTTTTATAGTTAAAACTTTACCTGAGTCGAGCCTGACCACTATCAGAAAAGCCGGGATTGCTTTTCCACGTCGTTTTCTGTAAAAATTTTACAGCGGCGTTTCAATTACTTAGCACGGTCTCCTATTGCTTGAGGGAATCGAACTGAAAAGATTATATCATCTGACGTGTTCTCGAATTTTCTTCCAAAAACAAAGTGTTAGCTTTCTATGGCGGGAAAAATGAAAGTGAATTTTTTAAGTCCTTTCTTCTGAGGAAAAGAGAAATAATACTCGGTGGCCACATTGTTAAGCGAATTTAATCTGAAGCGTTTATCATTTTAAAGCGGAGTATCGGGTTGTGCCCGGAATATGAAATAAGTGACTATCAGTATAACAAAGCTTACTAATAGATGTCGGCGGATCACAGTAGATAAAAGACGAAACATGAATAGAAATGTAGGTTAAAAAAAACGATGGATTCCGGTAAGTAAAAGCCTATCCGGAGTGTTCAAAACCCTGATAGACTAATAGATCCTTCCAGAGACACCCTCCATAGTCTTGCAGCTTGCATGGGTGAAAATTCATAACCACTTTGTTCACTGATTTCCCAGGCCCTTAGACAAAGGAAATTATTAAGAATCGGACAAAACTCGTATGAAATTATTCCTTAATTTTCTCAGGATCTACTCAGGTCACAAGCAACATAACATTAGCCGTTTTATAGTAGAGGACGCATTATCCGTCCAGATGCATGGATAATGTGTCTATAGCCGTTTTTATACCACAGTGGCATGATCCGTCTGGACGCACTCGGGCAAACCTTTGTAGTTCGTCTAGTTTGCTATGCGTCACGAATCATGGGAACGGGCACAAGACGTATTATGGGTCTAGACGAACTATCCTTCGTAAGGCGTCTTAAACGACGTTTTACGAAGGGCTAGTTCGCCTGGACGCATAATGCGTCTTGTGCCCGTAGTTATACCTGAGACGCATAACTAGACGAAGTACAAAATGTTTGCCCAAGTTCGTCCAGTTGACCTGCGACTGTAGTATAAAAACGGCCAATACTTGTGCATCCAACTGGAACTGGACTGAAAGCAGTACGTGCAGTGAGGCGAGGAGTAAAGGAAATATTCTGAGTATTGAGATGATATAGGCTAAACAATTCTGCAAAGGACACGGCAATGATCTAATGATGTATGACTGATGAGTAGCGACCGAAACGGTCATTTAGATGAGCTAAAAATCGACCAAAGAATAGTTGAAATAATCATTAATATAATATGTAAAAACTTCTTAACAACGTGAAATTTAAATGAAAAGTTAATTTTAAAATAATTACGAGGTTTCAAGAAAAAACTTGTTTTCCCTGGTAGTTCCTTTTTTAAGTGTAAAAAAACTAAAGAATAAGCCCTGTTGATCTATGAAGGCTTCATTTTGGAGGCCAGGATTTGAGGTCGCGACGCAATATAATAGCCTGCATGGTCTTACAATTATTGATACAGTGGACGGTTTCATGAATACTGCTAACTGATAATACTAATTAAAAAACGAAGCGAAAGGTGGGCCAAGCGTGAATAATTTTGCTGTCTCTTTCGACCAAATGAGTCTCTCAGTGTTCATTGGCTCGTTTTCTTGATGGTCCACGCAGTGGGAATTCGTCAGCAGAAACACAAGCCTTACTAGCTATGGGAAGGGCCCATATCTTTCCCACATGAAACTTATTGCATAACTGGGCGAAGTTCGACCCGTTCTTGCGATGCTTGCTCCAAGAATGCTATTGTAGCTTCTCATGATATGTGCATTAATTAATTTTCACTAAAAGGTTCATTGATTTTTTGCAAACTCTTTAGCGCAACGTGAAAGCGATGGAGACTAACGGCTTCTTAAACGTTTTTGCTATTCGCGCAGGAACACGTCCATCCTGGTCTAGCCGTACGTTGTTACGTTTTTAGGGGAAATAAGCGAAAGAATTATGTAATCACATGCAATCATGAACAAATATGTTCGTTGGATCAGTGGTACACAATAGATTTGAATAAAGAGCGCTGAGTCTGTGGGTTGGGATTGTCGCGGCCTGGTGCGTGCAGCAATTATTTAAGTTCTGGTTCAACGGGTTTTGACAATCGTTAGACGTTCGCCTGAGACCTCAAATGTTATCTTTCACATGCCTTGCGTTTTACGGTTAAAATTTCACTTGAGTCTAGCCCACAAGGTATCGGAAAAGCCGGAATGTCTTTTCCACGTCGTTTTCGCGAAAAAAATTTGATAGCCGTTTTTAAAGCACACGTAGAAACAAAAGATCAGTCCACCAGACTCCCGTTGCTTGAGGGAATCGAACTGGAAAGGTTAGCTTGAAGAGGTTATATCATTTGTGTTCTCGAAGTTTTTTTTTTTCTAAAACAAAAGAGTGCTAGTCTATGGTGAGAAACTAAAAATATAAGTGAATTTGGACAACGTGAGAACTATTTTTAAGTTGATTTAAAATAATTACGAGATTTTTAAAACATTTTGTTTTCCATGGTAGTTAATTCCTTTTCTGAGTGTAATAAACTAAAGAATAAGCCACGTTGATCTCTTAAGTTTGTAAAGGCTTCATTTTGGAGGCAGGATTTGAGGTCTCGACACAATATAATAGCCTACATGGTCCGGCTTACAAGCGATACAGTGTATGGTTTAATGAAGCGCTACTAACTGATAACAGTTAAAAAAAGAAAAGAAGGGTGGGAGAAGCGTGAATAATTTTACTGCTTATTGTGAACGAACGAGTCCCGTTCATTCAGCCTCATTTTCTTGTTGGTCCATACAGTGAGAATTCGTCAGCAGAATAACAAGTCTTACAAGCCATCGGAAGGGCCCGTACGTAGCTTTCCCGCAATGATACTTATTGCATAACTTGGTGACGCTTGACCAGTTTTGACCGACGTTTGCTCCAAGAATCTAACACTTGCTTCTCATTATATGCGCCTTAATTAATTTTCACTAAAAGGTCCATTGATTTTTCGCAACTGACTCTTCAGCGTAACCTGAAAGCGATGGAAACTTTCGGGTTCTCAAACTTTTTTGCTTTTCGCGTGCACTGGAACACATCCATGGGGTTAGCTGTTACGTTTTTTAGGAAAGTAAGCGAAAAAATTATGTAATCACAATCGTGAAAACAAATATGTTCCTTGTATCAGTCAATCACAATAGATTTGAATATCGAGCATGAGTCTGTGGGTCGGCGAATTGTCGCGGCCTGGTGGGCGCGGCAATCATTATTTTTCAGGTTCAACAGGTTTTTACAATCGTTAGACGTTCGCCGGAGGCCACGACTCGTGGTATTAAATAGGACCGTATTGCTAAGTAGCGATTGGTAACTACGTGTGACCGGAAATGTATATTTGCATAATTTACTTTGGGAGGGTTTGATCAGTAGTCATTTCAGGTGGGCGCGATACTTTCAGGGAGAAAGTGTTTTACTGACCTAACTTGGCTGGACAAAACTGGCATCGCTCAGGTGACTTGAAACGTCTACGTTAATTTCTAAACTGATTTTCGTTAGCCTTGTTGTACTTTGTTATTTTTGAATTTAATTCGTCTTTGTTTTCATCACAAAGATATTTTTTACTCAGGTTGTAGCAGTTGAATTATGTAATTGGAAATCTTTGTACCCCTAAAAATGCACCAATAATTTGTTTCCGTACCAATAGCAAGCTCTTAAAAGGTGAAAGCAGAGTTCGGACCTTGCTTACTTTCCTCTATCCGATGGAGAAATATTCAGTTCAGTTGTACCGTCAGATTAATGATAGTGCGGCGTTTAAATCAACAGTTGGCAAAAATTATTTCAAAGACTGAACGCCTAAATCCATGATGAATATGTGCTTTTTGCGGCCAAGCTGGAGGAAAAAAAACTAGCGAAGAGACCTACAACACTATAATTTTCATCGAACAGGGAATTTATTTTATTTTTTTCATTTTAACTGGCTTGGGCTTCTGAATCGTGCAAGGGTTACATAACCAATTTGGTTCAGGGTTAGAATTTTTACGAGTTGTCTTACTCAGCTGAAAATATAACTCAAATAATTCCTAATTGAACCATCCAGCAAACATTTTTGTTCTGTATTGTTTTGTTTTAATTAGGGAAAATTAAGGGATTAGAGTATTTTGTCTATATCGTCAGGAATATTCACAGTTAAATGGTTCTCAGATCAGGGGTAGAGCTCAAAAAGGGCTATTATGAACAAAATGGCAGAACAGGACAAGAAAACTTTAACTGTTCAGCAAAAAGTAACCTATTTTTATTGTTTCTTAATCCCATATGAAAACAACTTATGCAACTTAGCTTGGCTCATTATCTTGGTGAAAACCCTGCGACTGACTGAATTAAAAGCATGTCCGGGAATAAATTATTTAGACAAGACGTGTCACACGCACAGTCCACTGACAGTCAACATTAGCATATAAATGGCGGATGCACCAGCAGAATGGAATGAACGCGAGCTCTGCTATAATCGTTTCTTCCTCGTCCACTTTTTTGTACTATGATAATAACTCCTTGAATTTTGATCAATATATGTTGTATTCAACCTTAATTTGAAAGTCCTGCAACGAGGATGCCATCACGCAAGACGTAAATAAATAAATAAAAAATAATTTGAATTAATATTAAAAAGGAAAAATTGTCCTACCGAATAGATGAAACTGATAAAAAATATATATATATTTACAGCATTGACTATTCAGTGTCCTTTACCGGCTAAAATACTCAATATTAATATTTATTACCGACTAAAATACTCAAACAAGACTTTTGAATCGATCAGGAGACTTACGCAGCTAAGCCTGTACAGATCTTGCACGAAAGGCGCTTTTGGGGTCTTGAAACGTCTATCGCCTATCGTCTACTGGACCTTTTCGGAACTCGATTTCTATCAACTCGAGCCCGGATTCGATCGGATGGCGGGAAAGGCGGCAACAGAACCGTTGTAGTGAAAGCCAAACAGCTCGGGTGCCACTCCTAAGTTATCTGATGCAACTTCAAATTTCTACCGGGCAAAACTGAAGACAGTTCAAGTGCACCAAGAGCAAGGGAGAACGACTGAGGATGTTAACACATTCTAGAAGAGTTAAAGAGCCATGAACGACCCCATGAGCTGCTCGCTTGCTGGTGTCCAAAAACCGAAGACCCATGTAAACTTATTAAAAACTACATGGGAATGATGGCTATTTCATAACAAACTTCGTCACAGCCCAACAGGCACGTTATCGATAGGGTCATCATTGCGGTTAGTTAACTGATAGGGTCTTCCTTCAGTAGATAAAAAACTGGGGCAAAAGTCCGCTCCAAAAAACCTTTCGCTGAAAAGCTTTTTTTGTCCCCAAAATCCACCTTTTCCGCTGGCTACATTCAGGTAGCAGGGCGTTGTGATAAACGTCATTGATAAGGTCTTCGTAGACTGCAAAACAGTCCTTATTTTTGCGTATTCAAGTACGCGCGAGCAGTCAATCAAAAGGTCTGGAACGAGGCTGAAAATAGAGAGCGAGACTAGGCAGAGAGGCTTGCGCGCTTCGCGCGCGTACTACTCTTACGCCACGCTTCACCGATTCTTTACTGATTTTGAGAAAAAAACCGACTGTTTTGCAGTCTAGGGTCTTCGTTCTAGTTCGTCAAAAAGTCTGGTCACACTACAAAATCGATACAAGGGACGGCGAGGTCTCGTTTGAAGTTTTACCCGGCTACTTTTAAAAAAGAGAACCCTATCAACATAGCCTGCACGACAGACGGAACTAATCTTCGATTAAATTAAGTCTGCGACCCAGGTTTGAACGAAACCATTAACAATACGATAACTGACGCCGGTGCCTGTTGGTCTTGAAGAAGTGTGTTATGAGTTAGCCGTCATCTCCAGTCATCTTTATTTAGTTTTACATCAGTTTACATGGATCTTCAGTTTGGGTCTTCGATCTGCGGTTTGTTAGTCTGCAAAACAGTCCGTATTTTTGCGTAATCAAGTACGCGCGAACAGTCAACGAAAGGTCTGGAGTTAGGCTGATAACGGAGAGTGAGACTGGGGCAGAGAAGCTAAAAATACCGTATTTTTCTCTTGGAACTTGTGGAACTCTGACGCCACACCGGGGCGTCGTGCTTTGATAAAAGCGATTTTGCATTTTGAGAACCGACTGTTTTGAGGTCTAGCGGTTTGTAGACATCCACTTGCTGCCCTAAAACTGCGATCGCAACATTCTAACATCAATACCACTATGATAAGGAAAGAGCCCGGTGGACGTACTTCTCTTAGCACTTGAGAGGAAAAGACGCCGACGAACATCTAAAATGATCAATATTCAATAATGGCTGCGACACCATCACTGGACGTAGCCAGAATATTTACAATTATATTAATTAAAAATTCCACGGCCGTTCATTGTAGTTGTTAGGCCGGATAGGTTACTAACTAACCTGTTAAATTTTCTCCAAATAGTTGATTATTATTCAAAATTATCGAAACATATTGTAATTTATGCACCTGCTGGGCAAGTCTAAGGCTTATGTAAATTCCGAAGAAACAATAGATCACCTTCGTCGGCAATATAAAGTTGTTATTATTATTATTATTATTATTATTATTATTATTATTATTATTATTATTATTGTCTCTATTATCACAGTCTTTGCTGGTGTTCTTTTTGTGCATCAGCCGGGCGCAAACCATGCACCTAGAGTGTCAGTCACTCAAGTCAATCATTCTGTTCATACACTGAGCACCTTTCTGAGGATTCGTGCAGATCCCAGCATGCAGATCTTTTGAATCTCTGTCATTTTACCTCTTTCTGATACTTTCTTGATGTTTTCTACCATACCGTTCTTCACTGTACCAAGCGCACCAACAACCACAGGGATCACTACGGTTTTCATATGCCACATTCTCTGTATTTCTAGTTCTAGGTCTTTGTACTTGCATTTTTTTTCAGTTTCCTTCAGTGCGATGTTTCTATCTGATGGAACAGTCATATCAATAAGTTTGCAGGTAGAATTCACTGAATCTTTAACGATGATATCTGGTCTGTTCGCTGTTATAGTTCTATCAGTATTGACTGGCATGTCCCACATGATGGTGATGTTGTTGTCTTTATTGTGTATCACGGTCTCTGGTTCGTGTTCGTACCATTTGTCTGTAATCTCTATATCATGATCTTTACATATGCTCCAATGGAGATATGCTGCAGCATTATTGTGCCTGGAGATGTACTCTGTTTTGGCTAATACCTTACATCCAGGTACAATATGGTCCCCTGTCTCTTCATGTTGCGAACACAATCTGCATTTGCTCTCCACTTGCTGGCCACATATTACTTTCTGGTAGTTTCTGGTGTTTATTGCCTGGTCTTGAGCTGCAACAAGTAGTCCCTCTGTTTCTCCTTTCAAATTACTTGACAACCATTTGTTGGTGGTGACTGTGTCTACATGAGGCTTCTCTAGGATCTTTGGATACTGGCCATGCAATGCTTTGTTTTTCCACTTTTCTTCTTTCATTGACTTTATCCTGGACTTAAACACGTGTTTCAGGGCTTTAGAATTTTCAGAGGCAGATTTATCTTCTCTGTTCTCAATCTCTGGCATTGTTACTTCCCTTTTGAATTTAGTAGCATTCTTGGATATTGAATTTTTGGCTTTAGATCTTTCATGTTCAAGCACCTGCTTTGGATATTGCCATTCGTTGTGCTTCAGATAGTGATCAAGCCCTATTGTTGCAGTTTTGAATGCTGTTTCTACATCAATCAGGCCCCTACCTCCATCTTTTCTTGGGATGTACAGCCTTTCCGCATCTGCTTTAGGATGTAACATCTTGTGCATGTTCAATAGTTTGCGTGTTTTTGTGTCAATCTTCTTCAGTTCTGAGATTTTCCAGTCAATGATGCCAAAGCTATATTGCGCAACTGGGACTGCAGGACTATTGATAGCTTCTATTTTGTTTCTTCCATTGAGCTCAGTTCTTAGGATTAATCTTACTCTCCTATTATATTCTTTTCTTATCTTCTCTTTCATTTTGCTATGGTGGATACCGTCACTTTCATCTACACCCAGGTATTTGTATACTCCTTCCTGGTTCAACTCTTGTATTTCTCTGTCATCATCTATTATTATGTTTCCAGTTGAGGCCAGTTTACCTTTCATGAAACTGACTTTGGCACATTTCTCAAGTCCGAATTCCATACCAATATCATCACTGAATTGTTTCACTATTTTCAGTTCTCCAACTTGTTCTTGCTCGTTCTTGCTATACAATTTTAGATCATCCATATAAAACAGATTGCTTATTGGAGCACTTGTAACCATACCAAGATGTAGCCAGCTCTGATGTTAAAGGTACAAGGGCTAGGCAAAATAGCAGAGGTGAGAATGAATCTCCTTGAAAGATCCCTTTTTTGATCTTGATTTGATCTGTTGTGATACATCCATCATTGTAAGATAGCTTCATCGTAGTTTTCCAGTTGCACATTGAGGTTCTCATGAACTTGATTAGTTTTTCATTAAATCTGTAAATCTGTAAGGTCTTCAGTATCCAGCTGTGAGGAACACTATCATAGGCTTTTCTGTAGTCTATCCAAGTCATACTCAAGTTCTTTTTCTTCTTTTTGCAGTCTTCTATGATCATTTTATTTATTAGCTGATCTTTGCATCCATATGAACCCCTGACACAACCTCTCTGTTCTTCCGGCAATATATCATTCTTTGTGATATGGGTGTAGCTTCTATCAGTTAAAATCGATGTGAGCACCTTGCAGGATGTTGATAAACAGGCAATTGGTTTATTATTATTATTATTATTATTATTATTATTATTATTATTATTGCGGGAAACAAGAGGAGCCCTCAGTCCTGATCTCCAGGTTGCTATTGTGCATGAGCATGTAGCTAGTATGAGTTTGGAACTTCTATTATTCGTAATCTGATTACAAGTACATAGAACTTCTATTGCATGAAATGGACGCAAAGCACAGCGTTAGAAAAAGGGTGATCTTCTTCTCACCCGCGCTCCCTAATCTTGGTTATTACTAGTTGTTATTATTATTATTATTATTATTATTATTATTAGCATTAGCATTATTATATTCAAGGTTCTAATAGTACATGTAGTTTGTCGCTGTACAGGGTAGGAGATCCACTTCACTCGCCTCAGTCCTCTAAGCCTAGTATTAGGAATTTTCATGTGGAGGCCATAACATGCCATAACACTTTTGCCGGCTGTTGCTGCGACAGTCAGTTGATCCCGAGGCGAGGGATAAGTCGCGCGTTTACAGCCTTGTCGACGTTGCACTAGTTACGCATTCCAATGATAGCATCATTATCATCATCATCATCATCATTTATTGCTTTTTATTATATAGACACAAGTGTTTTACGGTAAAATATACCTCTCGTAAAATTCATAAAAACTACATCCGGGACCCGAGTGGTTTATTTTCCACGAACTCACACGTGAGTTTATCGGTGACGTAATTTCGGTCATTTCCCTCTATTATGTTATCGATGTCTTTTTGCCTATATAATAAAAAGAACATTACACGTCGGCTTGAAGATATGAATTTTATTTTCTCGTGGCAAAAACAATATTTCATTCACTCGCTGCGCTCGTTCGTAAAATATTGTTTTGCAAAATATAAAAAATATAGTTCACATCTTCGCGCCACCGTCTAATATCCTCTATTTAATTTCTGGAAGACCAGTACATAAAAGTGGTTGTTGTGACAAGATTGAAGAGTCTATGGTCTGTTAAAGTTGTGGAAAAGATATTTTGAGTAACTACTCACTCTTAGTCGCTTCTGATCTCTTCTTAGGCTGACGACTATCCTACAATCATGAACGACGTATACGAGAACAATAACAGTTTTGTCGAGAAAGATTCATTTATGGCGAAGGAAATAACATTTTATCGACTGGATGATAATGCTAGCGGATTCCAGGTCAGTGTGACGAAAGCCAGAATGTCTTCGTTTTGAATTGTTTTTCAGACGGCAAGACAGTCTTATTTTCATGTATTATTCAAACGGTGCGTTGTATCCAAATCAAAGGTCTGGAGTAAGTACAAAACTAAGCCCGGGTGGAGAGGCGGATACTCCCATAAATTTCGGGTAGGTGTGTGCTGCCCATGGTTCAGGAACCCCTTGCTGCAGTTGTTCAAGAGATGGATAACGCTATCCAGCGGATAAATCACTATCCACTGAATATCGCAATTAGTTTCCCTAACACTTATCCGTTGTATAGTGATTTATCCGGTGGATAGCGCTATCCAACTTTTGAACAACTGGGGCCTGATGTGTAAGGATGAAACAAACGAAATCTGATACCCTAGTTAAGGCTCGAACCCGAAAAATGACACCCTCTTCAGGGGAAAAACAAAACCTAACAATTTAATATCAACACACTACTACGCTAAGGGATAGTTCAGTTTTAACAGATTTTTTCTCAGTCTCGTCATCTTGCTGGACGTTTACGCACTTGAATTTTAGCTGCTTCAGTTTAGGTACCCAATCTTTGGATCAAGGCCAACAAGGGCAAAAAATGATACCCTGTTTATGGTTCAAGACCCTCAAAAACCATACCCTACTGGGCGGCACACCGGGGCGGCACCCCGGGCGGCACATACTTATCTAACCCATAATTGGGAGTACGCCGCGGGAAACTAAGTGAAACTGGGGAAAATGAAGCTCACAAGCGAGCATTCTTGTTGCTTTTAGTGGTCTTTAACACCTTACAACAGTGATTTAGTTTGAGAAAAATAAACGGCTATTTTCATATCCAGCCGTCATGGTAAGCTGCTTGAAATAGACTCTAGACAGTCGAGCGAGAGCACAGGGAACCCGAACGCTGTATTAACTAATAGAAAAATTAGATGTATTTACGCTGTATTAGCTGATAAAATAATATGTATTTACCTTTGTTCCTGTGTCTTTATGAGTCGTTTTGGAAGGGATTTGAATCCGATCAGACAGAGACGGTTAACATTGCTGGTTATCAAATGCGTTTGCTTGTCTGGCGCCTTGTAAATAAGACGTTCAAGTCTCGTCGCACGTTTCTAATATTGTTAACTATTAACTCAGTTAATAGTTAACATGACAATATTAGAAACGTGAGACGAAACTTAAAGACGCGCCAGACAAGCAAACGCATTCACGGATAACCAGCAATGTTAACAGTCTCTGATCGGATTCAAATCCCTTCCAAAACGACTCATAAAGACACAGGAACAGAGGAAAATGTATCTTATTATTTTATTAGCTAATACAGCGTAAATACATCCAATTTTTTCTATTAGGTAATACAGCGTTCGGGCTCGCTGTGGCGAGAGACTAAATATGAGCAAACCTGAGAACAGGAAATGGATGAACCCCGGAGAGCTCCAACCCCCAGTTTCCCATCGAGTTGCCAGTGCTGTATTATGGCAAGTTTATTTTCACATAACCTGCTGTGAAAAAAGGCTATAGGTAATTCGGAATTAGCTTATCGTACCTTCTTATACCCGCAGAACTTTAAATCATTGTCTTGTTTGATCACCTGACCAGGACACGCTTAGTGCCATAGTGAACTACCTGACGCAGCTTCCAAGGATGGTTCTAGATGGTTCCATAAAGTTCCCGAAGGAGCCCTCGGATATAGCTCGCAAAGTCTTCGCAGACCCGATCGTTAGCGACTTTCTGATTCGTTCCTCGCGCCTAGCAGTGTTTTCTAAAGAGCTGGCCAAATCCTTCAGAGGTGATCTTGATGCGCTTGCCGTTATTAAGCAACTCAAGTTTTTCTACAACTTACCAACTGTCGCTGTGCTGCAGCAGTTTGCGAAACTCGTTGCAAGGTTAGTCCTCTAACCTTTTATCGATAAATAATTATTAAGACCAGTTTGGCGGAATTCGAAACATGTCGACGACGCAAGCGCAATGCACAAGTCGCGCAAGCACTATGAACAGATCTCTCATGAGGTACCTCGGTAGCTGGCGGGACAAGAGTAGGGTGTAGTGCAATTTGACTCTTCCCAATTCCTATTGTGGCTTAACAGCCTAGACAAAATACATAAAAAGCACGCGTGGACTTAAGCAATTGCACGCGATAAATCCCTCCAGCTACGCAGGTTACACATAAGAGAAATTAAACCTTTACTGCTAATTTTGTTAGCCTTTCCTCACTCCGCTATTTAGGTCATTGCAATCAATATTTATTACCTTCATTAATCCTTTTACTGGAACATAGGAGGCTGCAATGGTCCTTCAGAGCTCTGTTGGTTAGACCGATTGTACTGATATAGGAGTTGTTGAACCCAGCTGAAACACTGGATATTTTCCTCGGGCTGGCACCCTCGTTTTCCTCATCTGGCGGGTTCACCGCTCGACATTCGCTCGCCTTTACTCCCCTCGGTAGATCTGAAAAAAAAGAGAGACGGCGTGCATGCAGTCTAGTTTTCACACAGCAGCGAGAACCATTTTTTTTAAATTACTGACATTATCATTAGGGAGCTTAAGCAGCGACGTTTTTGAGCCACGCACGTCAACCGGAAGTGAGGTATTTTCCCTCTTAACATGCCTTGATGATATAAAATTTGTATTCCTTAGCTTCTTTACTGTTATAGAGGCGATTTGACTGAAAATTTGCGCGAAACCACCGTCAAAAAATGAAAAAAGGCCACTTCCGGTTGACGTGCGTCGCTCAAAAACGTTGTTGCTTAAGCTCCCTATTAACAGATGACAACCGTATCTTTCCATAGAACGGATAATGTAGAGGCAACGAAGAAATGGAACAGCATCATTGAGAAGATTGCAGCTTGCGGACTCGGTTCAATGACTGTTCGTGTTTTACTCCAAGAAATAGAGGGCCCCCAATGCTATCTGGATAACGCTGAGTACCTTGAGGAGGCAGACCCACACGCAGTATATCCTACATCAATTTATCGCACCTGCGAGGGTTACGTGTTGGCAAAACCCGATGCTTCCGTGATTGAAAGTACCATGAGCCTGTCTCTAACAACTACTATTAAAATTGTCAGTGGTGTGCTGAATCCTGCCAATCATGAGCTGAGGAATATTTACCAGGCCCTTGGAAGGTATACCATCCTACGCGACCCCTTTTACATTTCGTTCTAAAATAAAAACTTGCTTTCTTGATGTAGTTAGAACGGTTTTTTAATTGTGCTTGGCGTATAAGGTAGCAGTGTTTACCTTTTATTTTAGAATAGTCCTTTTGGAAAGAAGATTACCTCACACCCTTATTCAGTAGCCAATCACAAGCAAAGAAGACCATCAAATATTGCACCCATGCGCATGGCGTCGGCTATGTCTTTTTCTTTTCTTGTTTGTTTTTTTACTTCAGGCTGGTTTTTAGGCACTTAACTGAGTCAACCTCTCTTTTGCCAAATGTAGCACGATATGGTTTTCCCCTGCCCACAACCGTCCCTTATTGTTGTTTTTAGCAACCACAGTATGACATTATGTTTTAATGGCAGTTAAAAAACAAAATGATTCAACATTCAGTCCCCTTTCTTTATTTTCTTCAGATGCGTCGCTGTTGTTGACGACAAAGTGGAGAAACTCTACGGCAACGCACTTCAAGCCTACTTCGACCGGTACAACATCGAGCTGTGCAAGCTGGTTTTCTCCGGGAATGAAGCCAACAAAGATGTTTCAACTGTGGAAAATATTCTTGTGTCGTTGAAAAGGAAGCGCGTCTCCAGAAACGAGCCGGTGCTGGTGATTGGCGGTGGTGTAATATCAGATGTCGCTGGCTTTGCCACGGCACTGTATCACCGAAACACCCCATACGTTATGCTCTGTACGAGCATCGTATCTGGAATTGACGCCGGACCCTCCCCTCGCACCTGCTGTGATGGCTTTGGCTTCAAGAATCTGTACGGAGCATACCATCCCCCTGTGCTTACACTTACAGATAGATCATTCTTCCGAACCCTTCATCATGGTTGGCTGAGACATGGCATCGCTGAAATCATCAAAATGGCAGCAGTGAAGGACGAAAGTCTCTTTAACTTGCTGGAGAAAGGATCCTCTGATCTAGTGTGGACAAAATTTGGAACCGAGATGGAAGATTTTAATGGTGATCATACAGAATTTGGAAAGCTGTGTGATTTGATCATTGGGAAAGCTCTTGAAAGGTAAGTGTCTTAACTTTCGTCTTCCCATCGGAGGGGGAAACAGCTTCGACTGGCTACCAAAGGCTTCCCGTGACAATACCCTGAACTTCTGGATGAGTCACCTTGGGCCTAATTGCCATTACATATGCATGAGGCGAAAATCTTGTAAAGTCCAGTAATCCATAAGAAAGCTATAGAAGAACTTTTTTGCTGCCTTTTACCATGCCCAAGAAAGTGGTGCGTGGATAAGTTCATTATTTTATTGTCAGGCAATAGTTAATGGTCAATTGTCTTGGGTATTTTTCAGCTACGTGATATCTGAATACGGAAACCTTTGGGAAACGCACCAGTGCCGTCCACATGCCTTTGGTCATACATGGAGCCCTGGGTACGAGCTGCCAGCCGGCATGCTCCATGGCCATGCAGTATCGACTGGAATGGGATTTGGGGCTTATCTTTCTTTCTGCGAGGGTTGGACCACTCGGGCTGAACTTGATCGCATCTTGACCCTGCTGAGTGATCTGGAGTTGTCCTTGTGGCACCCAATCATGCAAGACGTGCAGCGCATCTACAGTTCTCAGGAGAAAATGATCGAAAAACGTGGGGGTAATCTCGCAGCCCCTGTTCCCAAGGGCATTGGCAAGTGCGGATACATCAACCACCTGCCTTACGAGCTCCTTGTCATACGCCTTCAAGAGTACCTGAAGATCTGCCAAGGTTACCCCAGAGGAGGCCTGGGAGTAGAGGCACACTGCAGGGATGTTGGATTAGAAGACCCGACAGAGGGCAGCGTGAATCAGGCACTTCCCGAGGTGCTCAACGGGTTCGAAAATGGTTACCGTGACGACACGACAGACAACGACGACGTCCTCGTAAGCAATGGCCATGCAGAACTACACAAAGGGTATGAAAAAGATTTTCAGCCAGGCGAAAAACGCAAGGAGCTGTCATACTCTGAATGGATCGAAGCTGTACAGAAAAAGAGAACAAAGAACATTCCTTCCCACGTCGCTTTTGAAAAAGCTGAAGATACACCAAACCCACCCGTTTTCAAGCCTAACGAATTGTGTCATCCAGGTAAATATACGTCACGCAATGTAAACGATATCCGGCCTCTCAGTTAGTGACGTTTTCCGATGATCGGAAGTTCTTAATATCTTGGCTTGTCATCCAAACATGGTCTAAAAAAAATTATAGATACAGTCCAGGAACAGGAAAAATTCCAGGAATTATGCTCTGGTTTGAATAAACTATTTTCTTTTAAGTAAACAAAAATTAAAATTGTACACTTTAAAGAATGTTAAACCATGTGAATATAGCATTTGAATATGATGCCTTGTAATAGAAAAGTCACTTCTTGTAGAGTTTAATTTATCCATACCGTTTATTAATTACAAATGGCAAAAATGAAATTGAAGGACAAAAATTCAAGCCGAACTAAAAAGTACTCTTTTTTCTCAAGGTGTTGAAGACTACGCTATCAACATGACGCAGGTTCCAAGTCTAGACATACAGAAGATTGCCCTCGCCACAGAGGACCAAGAAATGTTCACTCCATGTATGGTAGGACAGCTGGAAGCACAGTTCTTAAAGATGATGGCACAGCTGGCCAATGCTAAGAGGGTACTTGATGTGGGTACGTTTACTGGGATGTCTGCCATGGCGTTCGCTGAAGGGCTACCATCAGATGGTGAAGTAGTGACTATTGAATTCGACCCTAAGATAGCTTCAGTCGCTGATCAGTTGTTCCGCAGTTCGTCACAGTGCCACAAGTTAACTCTTAAGGCAAGTTTTGCACGTCGTTAACACTTCACTTTTGCACATATCGCTATATCTTGCAATCTACGCAACTTAACCACCTTCGGCTCCAGCGATAACAATAATTCACATGATAATTTCGTCTTTTTCTCAATACTTTTTAATCGGCTCAAGGCGATTCATCAATCCATCGATCAATCAGCCCATATAGACATATAGCGTATTAATTAGAGATCCATCCATCCAGACAGCCATTCATTTATCCTATACTGTTCTGTTCACCCACCAGCCCGTTCACCCTTAATTACTATCCATTCATTCGCCCTTACAAATTGGTACTCGTTCACTCGATCCTAGAGCTATTCATTCATCATTTTTATCTATTTTATTTGATAATTAATTTTTGATTTAATTATTCCATTAAATGTTCCATTAGGTTGGAGATGCCGTTAGCGTCATGAATGAGCTTAATTCCTCGGATGAGAAGTTCGACATTGTGTTCTTAGACGCATCCAAGGATCAGTACACCTCTTACTACAAGATCGCTCTTGACATGCTTACACCCTCTGGCTTCATCATGGCGGACAACTCACTGTGCGCGCTGCTTTACGATGAAGATGATTCCAGAAGACAGGCCTTACATGACTTCAACCAGATGATCAAGAATGACAAGCGAGTAGAACAACTAGTGGTGCCTTTCAGGGAAGGCGTGTCTATTATAAGACCCAAAAAATATCTGTGAAAGAGACATTATTTAATTATATTCTGTATATTCAATTTTTTTGAGGGTCAAGGGATAATAAATAGCATAAAATTAGTGAACTGCGATTATCATTTACTTTTGTCAAGGCACTTTGCAAAGCCCTGTCTTACAGTTATCAATTTACCTCTTATCACTCTATCCAGTACAGTCGACTCCCGAGAACTCGAATCTTCTAGGGAAATCGAAAAAAGTTCGAGTTATCTCGCCTGTTCCAGGCGCTCGGATAGTAGAGTGCGTCGCGAAGGAGACAGCGAGACCACCCCTCGTTGTTGATGTTGTTTTTTTTCTGTTCACATCTCTTGCGGCTGTCCCCACGATCTGAACGCCTGGAACAAGCCAAGAGTTATCGGGAGCTTGAAGCAAATAACCGGGAATAAGGAAATAAGCAAATGGATGAGGAGGACTGTGCACGTATCATGCACAATTCACTTCAAGGGCAGCAAGAGATGTAGATTAATATTTTGAAAAAGGAATTAGGCATCAAGGGTTGATAAATATACTGGGATGGACACTGAATTTGAATAAAAGTGATAAAAAAGTCAAAGAATTGACACGGTTCTTTTGCGTGATAAATTCAATGTTTCGGTCTTCAGCACACTTTTTTTTTTCGACTTGTCACTCGCTTAAAATATGGTTTGAGTCATCGAGGGTAGAATTATATAGAAACGATCTGATCGAGGGGAAACAAACATTACTTCAAGTTAGAGCGAGGTTCGCGTTATCGAGGGCTCGAGTCATCGAGGGTAAAATTACAGTAAATGTAACTTGGAATTCAGGGGAAATTGACTTTGGTTCGAGTTAGTGAGGGTTCGAATTATCGGGAGTCAACTGTATTTTGCAGCTTTGACTACGAAAACTCTCGGACAGGTACCACCTGGCGAGTAGTGGTTGTTTCGTGTGAGCATGGCTCTTAGGTGATTATTATGACTACTCGTGTCTAAATTTTTCCGAACTGAGTTCAGATGTATTCCTGCGTACTTGGCTTTTCGCCGTCCCCACTATCTAAATGCCTGGGACTGTCTTGCTGACTGCATGTTGATTATTATGTATCGATTAATGAAATAACTAGATAAATTAATTCGATCTGTCAATTTCTTTGCAATGGAGCTAATTGTCTTTCAAAGAAAAGAACAGTCTCAAATGAGAGCTCCGCTTTTAGGCTTGGCTAAGCCTACAAATTCATAGCCGATTAGGCGACTGAAAAAATGCTATACAGTATGCCAAAGACAAAACGTCTGTTCCCGGGTCTTTGAAATTGTTTTACTAACTGTAGAAAGAGTATTTTTCACTGGAACGCGTGAAACCTTCGCGTTCATACAAGCGTTCTGGCATGGCTACTAAGCCTTTAAAAATGCGTTGATAATACTATCGGCTCCGCTTTCAAAAGTCTCTGTTAGTGAACCTCCGTTTTGGTCGTGTCTGAGTAGACACAGGCCAAAAACACATAAAAGGTCACCCATTCGTTTTCAAATACATATTAGTATTACTATAACTGTCTACGGACCGTGTTTTTAAGAGTTATAAAAAATGTAAATTATCCTGGGATGCTCGAGCAGGTCTGGTCTACTCCATAGTCACGCGCGATCGGCGGTCACGTTATCGAGAAAAGGTGATCACGTTTTATCCTGAACCGCACTTGCCGCTAATAAGCCTTCCCCCATAGTATAAGCCCCCCTAGTTATAGTTTCATCTACGTAAATAAAAAATAGATCCGTTTATAAGCCCTCCTAAACCCCCTCACGAGAGGGTTTTACGAAGATGTATTAGCCCAGGGTTTATCTGAAGCAGCAGTTTACAGTATGCAAAAGACTGATTTTTAAAGAGCACAATTAAGAAACCGTGACAAATTTGCTCGTTAGATATTCCACAAAACGTTTTAAAATCTGTTTTAAACGGTCATTAAGGCATGAAAAAATAGGATGGAGAATAGAATAGTATGGAATCGCTGCGACCTGTTCATTGACTTGTTTGGCATATTAGTTTCGGGTAGGCTTCTAAAACTGGTTAAAACCGGTTTTGATAAACTGGTTCTGATAAACGTTAGACGTACGCCAAGTTGAGTTGCATCAACTGGATGTTAGTACTTGTACAAGATAGTCAAGATAAGTTTGACTGACCCGCGAAAGCCAAAGCCACCCGCTTTCAAGCCCAACGAATTGTGTCATGCAGGTAAATATAAGAATTGTGGAGTAAATAATATCCAACCATTTTAATATGCGAAGTTTTGCGAAGACACATGATGATAAGATCATTCCAGCAACACATTTTACACCATCTTCTCTCATTTGATTAGTTTCAATTTATGGTAAATTAAACAGGCCTTTTGTTTTCTTGCGAAACTTGTGAAAAAGTGCGTTGTGAAAACAACTAATTAATTTTTTTATTCTCCAACTATAAAATTTTATTCCAAAATTTTTCGGATTTAGAAAAAGATAATCGAATGAAAAAGTTATGCAAAATTCAAGCAGAGGAATTTAAAAAGTACCTTCTTCTTCCGAAGGTGTTGAGGACTACAGGCTGTAATGATGACGCAGGTTCCAAGTTCTGATCATACAGAAGATTGTCCTCGCTACGAGGACCAAGAAATGTTCACGCCATGTATGATAGGAGAGCTGGAAGCACAGTTCTTAAAGATGATGGTACAGCTGACCGATGCCAAGAGAATACTTGATGTGGGTACGTTTACTGGTCCACCTATCCATCCACCTGTCCATCCATCCATCCATCCATTCATTCATCTAGCCCATTCATCCATCCACCTATCCATCCACCCATCCATCTATCCATCCATCCATCCATCCATCCATCCATCCAGTCATTCATCTAGGCCATTCATCCATCCATCCCCCCATCCATCCATCCATCCATCCGTGTATACCGTATTTATTCGATTAAGCGCCCAACCTCGAATTAGCGCCCACCTCGAGTAAGCGCCCATCCTAAACGCAGAAAAAGATGATAAGCACCCAGCCTTGAATAAGCGCCCACCCACCCCACTTCCTCCCACAAAAACTCCAATAAGAGATAATAAGAGACCCTCCCGAAGACGGAGTTTTCTTCAGAGTATTTTACACAAACCTTGCTTTGTTACATCTTCGCTTTTTGTAAATAGCATTTACTGTTTTGTTGCAAAATATACTACTACACTTTCTGAGAATGGTGAAAATTTGATAAGCACCCAGCCTCGAATGAGCGCCCAGCTCGAATAAGCGCCCAAGGTCAAAAAATGTAGTGAACGCCCAGGGCGGTTAATCGAATAAATACGGTATGTCCATCCATCCACCTTATCTACTCTTTCCTATAATATCCAACTTCTAATCGTTCACCTGTTATTCCAAGTACCCATTCACCCCTAGCCGATACTCCTTCAGGATTTATTTACCTAGGTATGGTAGTTAATATTTTTTCAGTCTCGGGTAATTTTTTTTTTTCTTTCAACTTCTCTTTAGGAACATTACCATACTCAGAAAACAAAAGAAAACAAAAATTACCTAAGATAAAAAAATTAACTCCACATATATATTCTTAATTCTTTAGTTAGGTTGGAGAGGCTGTAATTGTTATGGATGACCTTAAAACAGCGGGTGAAAAGTTCGACATTGTGTTCCTAGATGCACCCAAGGATCAGTACATCCCTTACCACAAATTCGCTCTTGACATGCTTACACCCTCTGGCTTCATCATGGCGGACAACTCTCGGTGCGCGCTGCTTTACGATGAAGACGATTCCAGAAGACAGCCCTTACATGACTTCAACCAGATGGTCAAGAAAGAGAAACGAGTAGAACAACTAGTGGTGCCTTTAAGGGAAGGCGTGTCTATTATAAGACCAAAAAAATATCTGTAAAAGAATTTTTATATGATATTCTGTATAATCCCTGACCACTGAGGGTCAAAATTAATGATAATAACATGATATAAGAAAAGAATGAATTTCCATAATCGGTCTTCTTTTGTGAAATACTACGTCCTTGTCTTAACTGTTCCCGCGGGTTCCTCCGCCTTATTTGAGCAGTATCACTTTTAATTATATTTTACCACTCTTCACGGCACCAACGATAGAGATTTTGTTAATTAGACGTCAAGAGGCTTATGAGAACCTATAGACTTCACGAGTAACGTAAAACAAAGAAGTAAACACCATAGAGTCATAGAAAATAAATCGTACAGAAACAAATAAAAACTTTAAAGGTTCTTGATACATCGAGGTAGACCGCCTTCAAAACAATGCCAATTTCAGCACTGAAGCACACACTACCAACTCCACAGAATGGCCAGTACCTTACACATGCGCACGGCCATATCACGCGGGCAATGGCAGCCGATCTCACTTGCGATCATCTGGCCATACCGCTGAGTTGGTACTGTGTGCTTCCGTGCTGAAATTGGTATTGCTAAAAAAAATGGCATCCCTGATCGAGAGAATATCCCAAAGCCTTACGCCGGACGTTCTCCCGAACCAACTGACTGCCTTTGGGTCTCCGAGGAAGGATCCGCTCTGAAGGATCTTATTTTGCCATTTAGCCTGAGATGAGTTATAGAAATCAATTAATCATTTATGGGAATCTAAAATTTACTAGTGGAGAGGGTACGACTACACGAAGGCTAAAGCGTGCGCGACCTTTAACGAAATGATTTTGGCCTAGCTGAGCTTTTTAGCTATAATTAGTGAAAAGGAACAATATATCCTTTCAACTTAGGTGATCCAATGCTATATACGCACTGCTGAGACTGCTTTTCGAGACTGTCCCAGCCAGCGGTTCCATTAGTCGTCGACAATAATCGTAACTGAGAAACTTTTCCAGTGCTTATCTGATGTGTCTTGTAAGTTGTTACGTCATTGAAGAAGGCTTTATAGAAAACTGGAGAGGTAGGACTTTTTCACTTGAATGATCTGAATGATGCGGCTTTCGAACCAGGTTTGACAAGCAACCGGGCTTCTAGCCTGCGTGGCAGGCGTTCGAAAGGGAAGGGGAAGGGCGTGAGACCTCGCGCTTTCTCCCTCGCGCGCTCTCGCGCGCCCAAAATTCCCCCTTCCCCTTCCCCTTTTAACGCCTGTCACACACGCTACTGGGGCTCGCCGGAGCGCCGAGATGAATTTGGCAAGTCACAAAGGCTTACTAAACCCAGGCTAGTTTGGTCTGTTTGCAGGAGCTTAGGGAAAACTGTGCATACCTTTGGAAAATTTCTAGCTACGCCCCTGATATGATACGCCAACTTCGCCAGCAGCTATCATGTTATCCGACACCGGAGTAACAAAATGATTGTTCCACTTTACACAGTATAGAGGGTCCAATGGGGCGGTAGGTTTGACTGTCGACGGAATATTTTATCCAATTTTGACGGTTGACGGTTAAATTATAGAGCTTTTGACGGTTGACGGTTGTTAAGTGAAAATTGAATCCAAACGTTTTAAATAAATGTTAACTTCTGTATAAATTCATTTAACTGTTGTGTTTTGGAGGTTGTCTTAGCCTTTCACTGATAAAATTTAGAAGTATTTTTGCAGTAAACAAGTTCTGTGTTCTTGTAATGTCCAGAGAGAGCGTTTTGAGAACATGGGAACTGGTTTGTCCAGCCTTTAGAGATGTTTCAGGAACCAGAATCCAGTGAAAACAGCTGAAATAGTGAGATTTGAAGTACCTTGAAACGTTTTCACGGTTTATATCGATTTATGACAGTTGACGGTTAAATTTTTAACCCCATATTGCAGAAACCTTCACACATATGTACAGATTTCTCTTGCTAAGGGCGAGGCAACATGGAAATGAGGCTACCAATGCGCAAGCGCGTTGCTGCTTGTTTGCTGCATTTTGTTTATGTACCGTTTCAAACCGTAGCTGGCAGAGTCACGGGAAGGAAAGCTTCCTTAAAAGAGAGAAATCTGGTTCCATCTTGGTCTAACAGAACGCAGCTTCTGGCCACTACTTACTATCGCACATTTTAGGGTCTGGAGAAGATGGCTAACCAAGATGGAAAGCTGCCAACGGACGAAAGAGTGCTCAAAAGTTAGTGCTTAAAGCCTCCTATGTCGTTGAGCGATTCAAGAGCGGTCGACAATAATTGCTGTGGAACGAGCCTCTTTACGTTTTGTTCTTGTGTTTTTTTTCTTGATCTAGCTGTACCAATGCCGCCGATGGAACGACTTAAGGTGGCGGATGTGTTCGATGCGGACGGGAAACCCAGAGCAGATGTCTTAAAAGGTCATTTCTTGAAGGAGGGAAGAATTGAAGAAGACGTTGCTCTTCGACTCATAAATTCGGGCACCGAACTTCTGCAGGAGGAACCAACAATGCTCGAGGTCGAAGCCCCTATCACAGGTACATGCCACTGGTAATTTAGATTTTACAGGTGTATTTTTTGAAAAGTGTGTCAGGTCACAGTCTTATGTGAGCTGTGTATAAGCGTTCGATCGATGTGAACTGCTGATGTAGTGTTCTATTTGTCTTTGTATACGTCTAGTGTGCGGCGATATACACGGTCAGTTCTACGACTTGATCAAGTTATTCGAAGTAGGAGGATCACCAAGTTCCACAAGATACCTCTTCCTCGGCGACTACGTAGACAGAGGTTATTTTTCGATCGAGGTAAGAAAAAGCGAACAACAGTAATCCTTGCCAACCATCGTACGCGTGTCCTTATTTCGCTGTTTCTTATATTATTTTTGCATATCAACAAATGATAACTCCATCTTTTTCTTTGAAGTGTTGTAATTCTTCTTCTTTCTCCTCCTTTGGAGAGAGCTATTAGTATTTATCAACTGAGATAGATGTTTCATATCATCCTCCCCTTGTTTCTTTTGCAGTGTGTTTTATATTTATGGGCGTTAAAACTCCTTTATCCTAACACGCTATTTATGCTAAGAGGGAATCACGAATGTCGACATTTAACGGAGTATTTTACCTTCAAAACAGAATGTAAGTACCTCATTTTCAGTTAAACTAAATTAATAATTTTAATGCTTGTTTTTCCCTTCTCAGTCTTCTACTCGATTCGACAGGAGACGCCTTTGATATGCGCGTGAAAACAAAAATCCATCTTCGAACAATCAATCATTCGAATTATCATTTTTATTCAAAGCGCTCTGTTGAAGTGGACATTGAAGTGTAGTTCGTTCGATGCATCTAACTTCACAAATACATTGTTGTTTTGATATTGCATTTGTCGACTTAAATTACGGAAGAACTTTGAACCTCTTTCGACATTTTTCATTTTACACACACCGAAGAGTCATGAATTAATTATGACATTGCGCTTTTAAAATTCACGACGGTGTATTGGTGCACACTGTTGGAAAAGGAAGGATTATTTTAACTTGATAATGTTTCACGCGACTTTAAAGTTACCACCAATTTACTCTTTTCTTCGGCTCAGTAAATGTTTTTGGTAATGCTCACATAACTGTAAATAAATTTTGAAGGAACAGTTATTTCTGTATTGACTTAGTTGACTTGACAAGGTTTAATTTTGGTTAGAATTTCCAAGTTTTCTGAAAAACGCGACACAGCTGTTGTTTTGGAGTTGAGGAATATCTTGTTTCCTAACTTTCATCAAACAGGTGCCCCTATTATAAACCCCTTTCTATCTTTTTGTTAAATTGCTGGCTATTTAGAATTTTAATTTATTTCATACTTACACTGTGACTTATGTGACTGTGCCAAAGTGAAAAACCAGAATTTAACAGCTTTGTCACACTTTGTAATAAAGCATTAAGAATTTATGTTAAGCTGGTTATTTATTAACCCTGGAATGCCCAGATCCAGTTGTACAGATCAGATCAGAAGCACAGTGTATACTTCTGTCTGTTGGGTCTGAGCAAAAATGTGGTACATGACCATTCTCTGCATGGCACCATTAATGTTATGTAACATTTTTCTTTAATTTTAACATTGAAAACTTCTTGGAGTGAAAATTTAATGTTTAACAAAGGGAAACAATAACCAATAATCAAGATCTTTAAAAGAACTAGTTCTCATGCTGGCTGACTGTTGTTAAGACGCCGTCTCAGTTCATATCATTGTATCAACAGTCAGTGCTGTTAAGCCATTGGCCTTATGTCCTTAAAGGAGCTGTGTCACGAAATTCAGCCAAATTAGGAAATTACAAAATGCTTGTTAAATTAAGAGAAATGTAAAAATAACCATTTAAAACTTTAAAGAAAGGTTAAAATAACATAACAGAAACAACAGATATCACGGATGGGCAAAACTGAAGAAGATTGAAATGGACTGAAATTATGGTTTTTGAAAACTGTTCAGCCTAACAGTTTTCCTAAGTTGATCCCTGCTGCTTGCAACTTCAAAAATAATGCTCAGGAGACATTTTGTTTGTCACAGATCTCTGATTTTGTCATTTACATGTAATTTCTTTGCTTCCTTTAAAATTCCATAGCGATTGAGGGTGAGTAATTAGAGAAATTAAACAAAATGAACTGAACTGCCGTGACACAGCCCCTTTAATCCTTCCTTCATCGGTGAACTACATTCATTGTCAAAAGGGTTGGGAAGGCTGCTACTTTCCCTCTTATTTTTGTTCCCCCCACCCGTTATGCAATGTTGACCAAAACTTAAGTGTTTGTGCATGCAACTGTTCTGTTATAATTTATCCCAACATTGAATAGAGGGGAGGGGGGATATTTGGCAAAAGGAAAAACCATCTCTTTTGAGGATTAAAATGAACTACTTTTGATTTGTACAACCTTCCCAACTACTTTTGTCCAGGATTGTAGATGAGGACATACCCTGTAAAAGAACCCACACTACTGCTCTAAAATCTAAAAGAGGAGGAGGAAGTTTGCCCCTGATTCTGTGGTTTACATGCTCCTCTTCCTCTGTCGTCGCTCTTCTTATCACATGTATCATCACAGTAAACTCATACACCATTAATTCACAAAATGTAGGCTCTGCTATCAGGGTAAAGAGCTATCAGGGTAAAGACTGGCTGAAGAACATTCTTGATTTATATGGGATCCCCTTGGTCAAGTTCCATCACAAAGAAGAAGAATTTGTTATACAAAAATTGGTGCTTAGTGGTTAAAGTATTCCATGGTATGATTTCTTTCCAGGCAAAATAAAATACACAGAAAAAGTGTATGATGCTTGTAT